CTGAGTTCAATTCCCAGCAACCACATGGTGGCTCACAACCATCTATAATGGGGTCTGGTGCCTTCTTCTGGCCTGCAGACATATACACAGAATATTGTATACATAATAAATAAATAAATATTTTAAAAAAATCAATATACATAAAATAAAAATAAATAAAAATCTTTAAAAAAATCCAAAAAACTAACCCAACCAAAGGGAAATCATATCTGGTACTAGAAACCTAGGCAACTACATAGGGCTAGTGAATCATGTATCTTAGGAGAACTTAAGCCAGCAGAATCCCTAACTATACTCTGAATATTAGTCATTATGCCCACAAATAAGTGTGGTCCTCACCTCTCATCAAGGAAACTTCTTGTTGCAACATATGGAGGCCATCACAGAAAACCACAACCAATCAAAATGCAGTTGTAGAGCCTAGTTCCAAAGGATACATCTACAGTACAACTCCCAGGCCTAAGGAGCAAAGGATCATTGTGGAAGAGGGACAGAAAGGCTGTTAACTGCCAGAGGAATTGGGATTTACTGCAACACTATGCTTCCTAGGAATGTCAGAAGCTATATCTAGAAAGTCTTATCAATATGACCGCCTAAACAAGGATGACATCAATGCTCACAAGGCGTAAGTTCACAAAGAAAGTACAGACAACTAAAGAACGCTAAGAGCAGCAGAAATGGTCCTCCCCAAGGAAAAGCATACAAATAGGTTATATAAAACTAAATGGTCAGCCCTGAAGAAAACATACACATACTAGTAACATTCTACAGAATGAACAGACTGTATTTTTGTATTTAAAAATTATGTACACACATACACATTCACATTTTTTTTTTTTTTTTGTTTTTTCGAGACAGGGTTTCTCTGTGGCTCTGGAGCCTGTCCTGGAACTAGCTCTGTAGACCAGGCTGGTCTCGAACTCACAGAGATCCACCTGCCTCTGCCTCCCGAGTGCTGGGATTAAAGGCGTGCACCACCATCGCCCGGCCACATTCACATTTATGCAACAACAATTGACGTGAAAACAGGACATGAATTTGAAAGAGAGCAAGGCAGCATATATGGGTTTTGAAGGAGGAAAGGGATGAGGAAAGTTATGTAACTGTATTATAATCTCAAGAAATAAAAAAATTAAAAATCTTAAAAAACCCAAACCTATGGGGGCTGGAGAGACGGCTCAGAGGTTAAGAGCATTGCCTGCTCTTCCACAGGTCCTGAGTTCAATTCCCAGCAACCACATGGTGGCTCACAACCATCTATAATGGGGTCTGGTGCCTTCTTCTGGCCTGCAGACATATACACAGAATATTGTATACAAAATAAATAAATAAATATTTAAAAAAAAACCCAAACCTAGGTCTTATTATAAACACTAGAAAAATATAAAACTATAAGTGAAACAAAAACAAAATGTAATATAACCAGCATAGAAAGCATCCCTAGTTTTTACTTTAATACTATTAAGGAAGAAAATTGTCTTTCAATAATCCAGGAAACCGAGAAAGTGACTAGCAATGCTATAGAGAAAATGGGCTAGGAACACTTTTAGATAACTTGAGCGGCTTCTCATTTTAAAATTATTAGTATTTTTTTAATTAAACTTACCATTAAATTTTATATATTATTTATTTTTATGCATGTGTGTGTGCTTGCATCACATTTAGGCAAAAGCCCCTGGAGGACAAAAGAGGGTGTCAAGGCCACAGGAATTGGTGTTACAGAAAGTTGTGAGCCATCACATGGGTGTTGAAAACCAAACCCAGGTCCTCTGCAAGAAATGTAAGGGCTCTTAACTGCTGAACCATCTCTCTCTAGCTCCTGCTTCTCTTTTTTATTATACAATTCACAAATAATTCAAATGATATTTACACAGTGTTCAGCTTATTACCTTACAAAGCTTCCTTAGCCAACCCGTTAAGTGGATGATTCAAGGTTGATTAAGCTTTAAAATTCTAAGCCCCTAACAGCTGTGAGAATCTGTAGTTACCATATAAACTTTCTTTTCCATCATCACACTAGGAGGAAAACTGCAAATCTTTTAGCTCATGTTTAAGCTCAGGCTTTCCATTTGATGCTCTCCTCTCAACTCACTCCCCCTTTCTTTCAGCCCAAGGCTAGCTGTTTTGGGTATGGCATTTGGAGAGTTTCTTTGGGTTTGTGGTTCTAAAGATCAAACTTGGGAACTCATTCAAGTTAGACAAGTACTCAGCCACTGAGTTACACCCCATCCTTTAACTACCCTACAACCCCACTGTGGTACTAGGGACTTAACCCAGGGTCTTGCTAGACAACTATGCTATTACTGAGTCATATGCCTGGCCTTCAACGCAAAATTTAAAACAGCTGGCTTTTAAAAAAGCTATGAGCAAAAACCATTTTGCAAATATATTTCAAATAATGAATACATTGGCAATAAATGGAAATAAAGAAATAGCCAAAAATAAATACTGAAGAGGTTTTAAGATGTTTAAAAATGAAATGTTTGGATAAGGGATACCTAACAAAATGAATGCACAGCTGATTCAAAACATTTTGTTTCTGAATAAAGAATGGATAATTCAATAGTCATATATGCTTGTCCCTGCTTCCTGTGTACGCTTCCCAGTGGAAGACATGAAAAGTACAGAGATCAAAGAAAGACAGGGAAAAGGACAAGGCTAAAGAGCAGACACTAGAATAAAATGGGAACACTGTTTTGAATAGTGGAGGGAAGACACGTGGAGAAAAAGATGGACCCCTGCACTCTGGCCCAAGACAGGAAGAAAGGGGAGCTCGCTGGCTGGGGGAGATAGAGTGCTCTTGCTGATGCTTCTCTGGACCCCATTCCTCCTTCTCAAGAGTAAGGATCACAGGGGCTGGAGAGATAGCTCAGTGGTTAAGAGCATTGCCTGCCCTTCAGAGTCCTGAGTTCAGTTCCCAGCAGCTACATGGTGGCTCACAACCATCTGTAATGAGATCTGGTGCCCCCTTCTGGCCTGCAGGCTTACATGCAGACAGAATACTGAGAATACTGTATACATAATAAATAAATAAACTTAAAAAAAAAAAAAAGAGTAAGGATCACAATCCCAAGTGTCTCTAACAAGAAAGGCCTATGACACTTACAGCTTTACCACTGGTGTAGTCTTCAGAAGGAATCACAGGTTCACGTCAGACAAAATCCCATCACTGAGACAGCCCTATCCCTAACCAAGAAGAGATTTGCAATTGGCACCTACTAGGAAAGGGAAAAATCAGCCTTTTGTAATGGAACGACACTGGGCATATCAACCACATGCTAGTGTAGGCCCCATGCTCAGAAGCAGTAGGCCAATATAAAACAGATGCCTTTTGTGTGTGTGTGTGTGTGTGTTTGCGTGTGCATTTTGTCATTTTGGGTTCTTTTTGTCTTATACATTTTCTTTTTAGTTTGTTTTGATTTTTATCTTTTTTAAAATAATTTTTTTTCTTTCCTTTTTCTGAAAAAAGAACATGAAGTTGAGTGGGTAGAGAGAACTTGGGAAGAGTAGGGAGAGGGGAAAGAATATAATCAAAATATGAGAAAATTTAGGATAAAAATGGAAAAAGAATATAAAACATTAATTATGAGGTGAATTAAATACCATTTCCTTACCAAAACATTTTTTGGAAAACAGATCTTTTAAAAAAAGCATGCATTTGAAGAGGTTTTAGCATCTTTACGGTTACATCTAAAAGCATTCAGAAGAAAACTTTTACTTAAAATCGAATCTCACCTGGAACCCACTTGATCTCCATTTCCATATCATTTTCTTTTCCTTTTTTTTCCTTTTCTTTTATAACTTGCAAGAGCTCTCTATATTTAGCAATTTGTTCTTCATCATCCTTCTGATATTTCTTTGTTTTCCCATCTTCTACACTGACTCCATCCTCACCTAAATAAAACAAAATTAATCTATTTAAAAAAAGAGAAATATGTATTTTCCAACTTTAGTGTTTAGGTCTCTTGGTCTCTTCAGAATACAGCTAAAAAGTGTTGTCAAAGAAAACCCTGCAACCACAGAACATAAAACCAGTCTTCAACTTGTGAAAATGAAAAGGACTTCACTCAGAGGCAGTGAAGTTAGTAATAGCACCGTAGAGTACCACACAACATTCCCTTCTGTGTAAACTGCAAGAGCATTAAGAGTGACATCTCAGTCCCCTCTTTGTCATTTGCCTTCAGCACAGCGGCTTTAAAGGCTCTGGTCAGCAGAAGGAGCCTGAGTGTTGCTGGATTGAGCCCGACAGACGGGCTGAGCTTCTCAGGCCGCACAGAGCAGGTAAGGAAGTCATTTAGAGCACAAACCTGAGACTACGAAGTCCTTTCCATTTGACTGTGAATAAGCACATTTACTCTTAGACTGTTGCTCAACAACCAATGATAAAGACAAAAACACTAGGAGCTAATTCAACTACTTTCACCATGTGGAAAGACAACTAATATTTCTGAATTCTAGTTTCATAAAAACTAAAATGTGAAGAAACAGTCATGGTAAAATTCATGGGTAACAAACATCAGAGAAAAATCAAACCATAAAGTTTGTTTTTCTAGTTTCATTGCAAATTCTTCAAGTCAGTAACATAAATTAGAAATCTGGGTTTTAATATAAAACACACAAACTTATCAAATTCATTAAACATCACCAGCGGAGGAAAGTTTGGAAGTGAAACAGTGACGTTCCTGTCTTTGTGAGCTCTGGTCACCAAAACTGTGATATACGCACGGAGCAGTGCTAACACCTTGCTTTTACATCTTCAAAAAGATGATTTTCAAAAGGAAAACAAAAAGTTGACTAAGTAAACATTTAAAAGTTACTTTTCTTTCTAAGCGAATGAACGGCTGTGGGCTTTCTTTCCATCATCCTAACACACTTTCATATTTTCACTCAAACAGCTGAAGCTCATATTTTGCTGTTTGTGCCACAATAATAATGGTTGATGGAATTTTGTAATGTACTCAATGGATAAAACATGAGGAACACATTAACAAATGGCAATGAATTTCATTCTATTAAAAACTTACTTCTGAAAACATAATGAGAAGCAAGCTCCTTCCAGGTTAGAATTTTAGTGGCGAGTCTCTGATGCTCACTTTAAATTGATTTTCTCCAGTACTAAAACTGTACTTTCTGAAGCTCTAGAGTGTGGGTAATTCATGCAGCTCTGCTTTCCTAACTCAAGGACAACATTTTATGAGCACCTTAACAGTACATAAGATTTAAAAAAACTAAATTCAAACAGTGAGCTACTCTTATAGACAACTATCATGAACATTTAGTGTCCAAATTTACTAGTCAGAGGAACTAAGTTACAGATTAAAGTAGGTTTGTAATCAATTTAAATACTGAAGAAACGGGATGCTTTTGGAAAAATAATTAGTATATTTCAAAGTGAAAGATATTAATATCTAGTTTTAAGGGTTAAAATTAAAATAGCTGATATAAAATACTATGCTAAATACTTTATAGACATCATTTCAGTCTGTGAGCCAGGTATCATTATAATTCTTGTTTCACAGCAACAGAAGGAAGGAACCAGGTGCTAAGAAAATTTGACTTCGTTTTCACTGTGCCTAAGTCCAGTTCTGAAACCAGCAGGGTCTAAGTTTGGCTTATTTCCTGTTTTACAACACTGACAGTTGAACACTGGGTTTCATGAAGCTTAGCACTACCATTGAGTTATATCCCCAAAGAGTCCAAGATATTAAATATATTGGAAAAGTAATGCTTATCAGAAAAGCACAAAATGTTCATCCACAGAGGCAAATAAATAAATAAATGTCTATGGGAGATGAAGAGGCTGCACCCTTATTTACGGCGGAAAGGTTATAAAGGTCTGTGAGAAGGCTATGCTATAGACATTAAGAAATATAACATTCAAATTCATGAAAAAGATTAACAAGCACCAGTCACCAAGACCTTAAAATGTAATATCCAATAAGTACCACAGCAAATTATGTAAGTTCTATAAAGCTTTCATTACATTTATTTATTGTGTGTATGCATGTACCAAGAGAACTTTTAGGAGTTGTTCTCTCCGTCTGCTATGTGAGTGGGTTCCAGGGATCACACTCAGGAGCCTTTACCCATTGAACCATCTCACCAGCCTGAAAACTATTCATTTTCAAAAGCTACGAATATTTAAAGAATTACATAATTTTATTAACAGAATATTATTAAACACAATTTTCTTTACCTTAACATCAATACTGCAAAACAGTATTTTATGGCAAACTTCTAAGGATAAAGAACTACCTTCAGTGACATGAAAACAAACAATAGATCATTCAGAAACTAAGACAGTCAAGGCTTAATAACCCTATGTTTAAACTAGAAAAGTATCTATTCTTTCATATGCCTTTATAGAAATAACACACTACGTAAAAGGAAAATGTTAAACTGCTAGGCGGTGGTGGTGCACATCTTTAAGCCCAGCAATGGAAGGCAGATCTCTGCCAGTTTAAGGCCAACCTGGTCTACAAGACGAGTTCCAGGATAGCCCCAGAGCTACACAGTGAAACCCCATCTCGAAAAACAAACAAACAAAAATAACAAAAAGGAAAAATGTTAAACTATAAATTATATTCTTTCTTGTTGATTTAAAATATTTATACTTATGTTTAACATTTCTGGTTTTTCATTTTCTGTCAGCACCAAACTCGTAATTTTTACTGTTTAGTAATTCTATTAGATGAGAATAGCAAAGATGTAACAGCAGATACTATCAGTCTTTCTCTGTCTCTGTCTCTCTTGTTTGTTCAAGACAGGGTTTCTCTGTAACTCTGGGTGTCCTGGAACTTGCTTTGTAGACCGGGCTGGCCTCGAACTCACAGTGATCCACCAGCCTTGTCTCTGCCTCCCTAGTACTGGATTAAAGGCGTGTGCCACCACCACCCAGCCAGATACAGTATTTTTAAAGTCTTTCTAAAAATTTTAAAGGGATTACAAAATGAAATTGAAGCTTGAAAGAATTGAAAAGTTAATGAAGAATTACTACGTCAAAATCAAAAATAGAGAATGGAATATCACAAGGATTATCCAAGTGTTTTAAGATCTACATTATTTCTGAGAACTTCCCTTTTACTGATCTATAGCTGTGAACTCAATGGAAGACTATTAAGAATACAAAGGACACAAGTGAAAATTCACAGGAGGAGGAAGTTCAACTAATCCTCTGGAATTAAGCAGAGGTCCAGAGGGAGTACCAGACAAATATCAAACTTAAGAGACTGAACTACCAAAAAGTGCATTGTTGTCTTGACAAATAGGCACAGAGGAATTCTAGAAGTAAAATAGATAATAACCAAGATAAAGAATTAAGTGGGTAGGTACACTGCTGAAATGACACTCTCAATACACACACACACACACACACACACACACACACACACACACACACACACACACTCTGAAGTACCGGGGAAAATGTAAGAGAACAGAAATGTTTTAGGGATTTATCTCAGTAGTAGAGTACTTGCCTAGTACACATAAAGCCCCAAATCAAAAACATCTAAAGAGAGAGGATACAATGGAAAAATTTAATGCATATTTAAATAGAGTTCTAGAAGGGCAGGAGAAAAATCAAATGACTGAGAACATCAATACTGAAAAAAAAGATATCACTGTGAATTGAATGGACCCAAAAAAACCCCAAATTCAACACACATCCATCCACCCACACCCACACATACACACCCATATAAATCTACTCTTAGAATAAAGAAAATCTCCAGACAACCTTCATAAACACCAATCAAGTCAGAAGTCAGCGGGGTGTTATTATCAGTGTGGGTACAGAGAAGCCTTTGCGAATTCAATTTTAGAATCCTTTGCAAGCAAAAGCAAAAATTTCTGGCATTTTCAGACAAAACAAACATCAAGAGAGTTTTGACTGTAGCTAGTTCTTAGTAAAGGTATTTCTTAATGAATACTTAAAGCTGAAGGAAAGAGATTTAGAAAAAAAAAAGAGCAATGGAAGCCAGGGAAATGTAACATAAGAGCAGTATAAGATAGTGTTATACAAAAACAGTACAAAAGTTATTTAGGATCACTAGAGTGGGGTTGGGAATGTATCTCAGTTAGCAGAGGCCTTGCCTAGCATTTAAAACAACCCGAGTTCAGTTCCCAGCACTGCAAAAACTGAATGTGATGGGCTATGCCTATAAATGAATCACAGACCTTGGGAAGCAGAGGTAGGAGGATCTTTGTAATCTGTGACTTCAAGGTGAGCCTAGTCTACACAGAGTGATCATTTCAAAACTAAATAAGGTGTTGGAGGGGCATAACAGCATTTTATATATTTACAAGTCTAACAGGTTAGGCACTTTTATTATGTTAGGGCTTAAATAAATTTTGTGGCTATAGAAAATTAGCCTGGCAAAGTATTTAGGATTTAAAAACATTTTTATTTATTCTAACTATTATTGTATATGTGTATGCACGTGTGCGCACGTGTAAGTAGGTGGACATAACTATACCAAAGCATGCATGTGGTGGCCAGCTCTCCTCTATCATAGGTTCTGGGGGTCACAGTCAGGTCATTAGGTGTGCACAAGTGCTTTCATCCAACTAGTATCTTGCTGATCCTTTAAACATGTATCTATGCATATACATGCTTATAATTCTATGCATATAAGTATGCTATACAGTTTGGAGATCTTTTTAAGTTTTGCCAAAGACATAATTCCATTAATCACCCAGTAAAAGGATTAGCAAGTACCTTGTGGTGCTTCTTCCTCTTCTTCTTCATCCTCACTAGAGGAAGCTAAGTAGGCCTGGAAGTCCATGTCCAAAAGCTCCTCCTTTTTAAACTTTCTGTTAAGTGTTGTGATTCTTTCATGATCAGTCTCATCCCAAGTGATCTCCACCTTGAACCAAAGAGTGAAAATAAAACAACAAACAAAAGCACAAAGGTAAACTTATACTAAAGCACATTGTTAACTTTGATGTTTAGTATTGAGTTAAAATGCATGTTACGCAAGGAGGAGCACGCACGCCTTTAATCCTAGCACTTTGGAAGCAGAGGTGGATCTCTGTGAGTTAGAGGCCAGCCAGGTCTACGTAAGAGTTCCTGTCCAGCTAACGACACAGTGAGATGCTATCTCCCGCCTCCAAAAATGTCACAATGCACATACAAAGATCAACCACGGTCATGGGAGAAAAAAAAAAAGAATACATAAATGGCATCATTAATAAATGACACCCTATTTGCGGACAGAGAATCATGTGTCCACTTTTACCTTCCCCCTAATTCTCAGCTATATGAATGCTATTTCATTACTGAATAGATTACTGAACAAATAGATTAACACTGGTTAAAAAAAAAACAAAACAAAAACAAAAAACACCAGAAAAAGTTAATACCATTATTAACCAGTGAGAACATGATTTTCTTCTAGAGAACTAAAATGACAGTAGAGTCATAGATGACATGAAATCTGTTAATAAAGCATCATAATCTCAAAGGTAACATTTTCCTAAAAAGATGAAGAGTCGCTGATGACAAAGGTTTTCATGATCATAAGTACAGCAAAGCTCTATAGCAAGTAAGTTCATGGAGAATATAACCGAGGGAGACTGGCTCCTATCCTAGATTCTGGTGGCTCTCAACCACTGCCGCTCCTCATGTTGTGGTGACCCCCCCCATCATAAAATATGCTACTTCATAACTGCAATTTGCTAATGTTATGAATTATAACGTATATATCTGTGTTTTCCAATGGTCTTAGGCAAAGTGGTAAAGAGGTGAGAGGCAAACTACAAAGGGGTCGTGACCCACAGGTTGAGAAGCACTGCTTTATTCAGTCCCCTGTGGAAGGGTTTTACATTTATAGCACAACAAGCTCAAGTCCAATTTCTCCATAGTAGGACAACAAGCTAGGCACTAGTTTATCATGAGATCCTTAAGAAAATCCTTGCCACTCTCTTGGAACTTCTAGCCAGTCACAGGACTCAGCTACCCCTACTCTGGTAAGTCTGTGATGAAATGGCTGCTGCAAGGACAGCTATTGGTGACACAGATCAGGATGCAGAATCTCCAGCTGGTTAGACATGCTGCCTATTTTAAGTGTTGAAAATAACATGATGTGGCTGTACCTTTTAGAATTCACTTCCTCTGGGGTTTTACTATAATTTGTAACTAATCAAATACCAGAATACCCTTCCACAGCAAGGAGCAAGCAGATATGACACCAGCTTTCTTGGAAGAGCACAATCGTCTACTATACAGTGAGTACTGCTGAAGGCCAAGACTTAGGGTGAGAGAAAACCATTTAGCTATGTAACAAACTACTGTGACATACAGAAATCCCCCCCCCCCACCCGAGACAGAGTTTCTCTGTAGCTTTGGAGCCTGTCCTGAAACTAGCTCTTGTAGACCAGACTGGCCTCGAACTCACAAGTACTTTTACCCGTTGAGCTATCTTGCTGGCCAAGACCCGAACTTTATAAGCTTAATTTTACTTAACTCTGCCTCCCGAGTGCTGGGGTTAAAGGCGTGCGCCACCACCGCCCGGCCAGCAATCTACTTCTTAGTAATATGAAAACTAGTAGTACTGAATTAGTCTATTTCCTTTGATGACAAAACTTTTAAAATCACATCTGCAGAAAAATGTGCTCCTATTTCAAATGGTCAATAACTCTGTGTAGCTCTCATTTGTGGTAAAGTTATGTCCTTCCTATTCCCTAGGAATTTAATAACTGACACAATGCCTATTAAAAGAATATAAGATAAAATCCAGGGCTTCCAAATGTGCTAGACAAATTCTCTACTACTGAAATACATTTTCAGGTCTTAAGAATCTAGTTTAAAGTATATGGATAAATACAGGGAAAATAACAACAAGAGTTTAGCTACACATTTAATTTTTTTTTTTTAAATACAGGGTTTCATGTATTGCAGGCTGACTCTTGAGCTCCTGATACCCCTATCCAACTTCCCAAGTGCTGGGATTATAGACATGTGCCACCATGCTTGACCCATCTATACACTTTTTTTAAAATATTTATTTTATTTATTATTTATACAACATTCTGTCTGTGTGTATGCCTGCAGGCCAGAAGAGGGCACCAGACCTCTTTACAGATGGTTGTGAGCCACCATGTGGTTGCCAGGAATTGAACTCAGGACCTTTGGAAGAGCAGACAATGCTCTTAACCACTGAGCCATCTCTCCAGCCCCCCGTCTATACACTTTTAAGAGTTAAGAAATACCGTTGATGTTCCCATTGCAGCGGACGTGAAATATTTTGGTTTATATGCTGTTAGATCAACTTCTGAGGCCACATCCCTGGGCTCATCATCAAAAGTAATATCATCTGGTATAAACCTAAAAAAAAAAGTAAAATCTATTTAAACAAAAATGTAGTGATTATTAGAGTTACAGATTTTCTATTAATTAGTGATAGTTTATATAGTTTATACACTACATAATAGTTTCCATACAGCACAAATATAAAAATTTCTACAAGGTTAGAAACAACCTTGGCATATCTCTGAAATTTGTAAACTATATATCTGAAATATCATTATATTTGAGAGAATTTTATATATAGAGAGACTACATTAAGAACTAGTTAATACAAGGTATCTTCCAAAGACCCAGATGCAATAACACAGTCATTAACTCATTTTAGAGTTCAAAGATCAAATAGAATTACTACTAGGTAAGCAGTCTCAATATGGAGTACCATAATCAGGAAAATTCACTAAAAATAAAGAAAAGTTTAAGGCTGATTAAGAATAATCTCAGTCAAAGCCTTCATTTCACAAGTAATTAATCTTTACATGTCAATCAGTCAAGATGACTAATTTTAGGCATCAAGCTAGGGAATGTGGAATGAAAAGCAAATAATCTATGATTATTATAATCAGGCTTTTATAATTTACACAGGAGATTCTTCTCACACATATATAAAATGCACTGCTATATAATGTATCAAGAACTACTGGGAGAGGTGGTAGAGACACGGCTTAGCAGGTACGAGCACCTGTTGGTTCATGCAGAGGATCTAGGTTTGAATCCTGGCACCTCCTACCTGGTGGCTCATAACCATCTGCAACTTCAATTTCAGGGGATCTCAGCACATGAAGTAAAAATAAATAGATCTTAAAAATATTTTTGAAGGAATTATTATTTCAAGGACATAAATAATGAAATGGTTCATAAATTACTTTTTCTTCATTATATTAGCTTTTCCTTGTTCATTTTCTAGAATGTAAGAAAGTACTACTCATTCAAATATTTTACTACATATGATCTTGCTATATTGTAAGATTCATCTGTTAAGACATGAATTGAATTACCTTAGGTCTATAAAAGAACAACTGCTTTCAAATTCCAGGCCATCACAATCTTCATAAATCTTACTTGCTGTTTCAGGAGAATCACAATCCACTACTGCATAATAATATTTCAATCGTTTGAACTGATAGTCTCTCAGCTTCTCTCTAGAGGCCCTAATGGGGGAAAACTAAGTTGAACATATGTATACAAAAACACAGAAACGTCTCCATTAAAAGGTCAGAAAACAACTTTTTCAAGAGTTAGTTTTCTCTTTCTACCATGTGGTGGATTCTGGGGGTTGAATTCAGGTCCTTAGGTTGTCAGACTAGACGACAAGTACTTTTACTCATTGAGCTATCTCGCTGGCCAAGACCTGAACTTTATAAGCTTAATTTTACTTAACTATACTCTGTTCCTTGAAGGTCTTCCTCTGCCACTTTTGTTACCATCCAGGTAACCACCATTTTATTAAGTGCACAAGCAGCTCCACCTAGTGGTTTAAAACTACTTCAGTTGTTTTCTACAACATAAAACCATTTTTTATTCCTTTATTTTTCTATTTAACACTCAAAAAATATAATATGAAGGTAAAAACAAAACTAATTCATAGCAATAAAGATAATTATGAACTTTTTTCTCAAATACGGCAATCATCATTTCCAAGCATACACACAAAATGCTGGCATAATGTGCCGTCAACTATAATCAGTCATCAAGTTGTCTGAATCCGAAGTGTTAGTCTGAGTGAAGTACATGACTTTACTAGGGTTAGTTTTATATTCTGGAGTGACTCAGTACCAGTCTTTTTCGGGGGCATCCTCAGGAATACTCAATAACTCTACTGGTCCTTGAACTTGCTCTTCTTTCATCCTCTCCTTTCCAAACTCCGAAGGATATATCTGAACACAAAAAAATAGGGCTGATATAATTCATACATTCTTTTATATATAATATGAAGAGCTGTCAAAGCTAAGGCATCAAGAGTCATGACTCAGCTCAATAAAAACAACTCATTTCAAACTCCCTGCAAAAAAGAAAACTCATTTCTAACTACATAAAGATAAAGGATATTGAAGAATTTTCTTCAGTAATTTTAGCCAGAATATAATAAATGGGGATAAAAACAAAGCACCATAAACACTCTGTCCCTAGAACTGATGTGGGAAGGTAAACATCAACCTGCACTCTGTCCCTAGAACTCATGTCAAATGGAAATAACCTACTTTTGAAAGGGATCCTCTAACTTCCATCACACATCTGTGCATACACACAAAACTAAAATATAAAGCAAAAATAATAATTTGCTTCCCCCTTTAAATACCTGTTACATCAGTTTTATACTTAAATGTATGGCAATTTCCAGATTAATAAAATATTTTTTTGAAGAGGAAAATTAAGTCAGTTTAATTAGAAACAAAGTCAGATTTAAGTTAAAACACCTAGAAATATTTACTTTAAATGAAATCAATTCTCACCTTTACAGAAAATACAACTCCTCCTTTGGGCTTAAAAGAATTGAACAGAGCCAGCAAATCTTTTGCCTTTAATCTATCCCAGTCCATGTTGCAAACTGCTAGTCGGCGTGTAATCTGAGAATATTAAAGTATTATTAATTATTACAGAATCTGTTTTTTTTGTGACACAGTCTCACTAAGTAGTCCAGGGCTGTTCTGGTATTCACTATACAGTCTAGGGTGGCCTTTAACTCACAGAGATCCACTTGCTTCTGCCTCCCAAGTGCTGGGATCTGTATCATTTCAATGCTTGAAATCAGAAAGATAAACAATGTAGTATAGTCTTTCTCAGCACCTGTTATTTAACTGATTTAACATGCAGAGAGAGCTTAATGTGAGGCAAACAATAGTAGAACTACAAGAGATAAGCATTATCTATAAATTGATTTTTAGAGTTCTTGAACCAGGATGTGATCACAAACTGATGTTTTAACCACAACAGTGTTAAAGATAGGGAGTAAGGAAATGGGCTACCACAAAGCATGTACTTCTGGTGCAATAAGAACATAAATACAAATTGCTAGCACAAACAAGCATAAAGCTTTTGTGTACTTTAAATTACTTATGTAGCAATTCTTGCTGAGCACAATGACACATACTTTAAACCCCAGCATTCCAGAGAGGCAGAAGGACCACTGAAAGCTCAAGGCCAGCGAAGAATTTGTAGAAAGGTTCTGTCCTAAAAGGCCTTTGATAAATATCAACACAAATTCAAGATAAAATTTCTAAGCAAACTAGGAATAGGAGGAACATTTGTCAACATAATAAAGTCTATATAAGACAAATATATACCTAGCATTATACTACATAGGGAAAAATAAAAAGCATTTCCTCTAAAATCAGGAAGGAGATAACAGTGTCCAGTTTCTCTACTCTGATTCAAAACAGTACTTAAGCCAAAGGTTCCCAACCTGTGAGTCACTACCCCTTTGGCAACTATTTCTAAAAATATTTATATTATGATTCATAATAGTAGCAAAATTATAGTTATGAAGTTGCAATGAAAATAACTTTACGGTTGGGGGGGTCATCACAACATGAGGAACTTATTAAAGTGTCGCAGTACTAGGAAAGTTGAAAACCACTGACTTAAGGGATACATACAGGAAAGGAAGAAATCAAACAACCCCATTTTCAACACGATCACACACTCAAAATTTTAAAAGACTCTACCTGGAAATTCTTAGACCTTCCACCCTATCTCTTACAATGTTCTTCCAGACTTGGAGGGTGTGAGGGTACATGTGTGCAGGAGAATCCCTCAGGCTCGCTGACCAGCCAGTTCAGCTTAATCAGTGAGCTTTGGCTCCAGTGACAGACCCTGACTTAGAAATAAGGTGGAGCTGGAAAGGGTGGTGCATAGCCTTTTAATCCAGTACTTGGGAGATGGAGGCAGGAATCTCTATGAATTAAAGGCTAGCTTGGTTCTCAGAATGAGTTCCAGGACAGACAAGGATGTTAACCTTGGTCTCAGAAACAAAAAATAATAAACAACAACAACAAAAAAAATTCACCTAGAACCAAACCAAACCAAACCAACCAAAGAAGGTAGAGAATAATTGAGCAAGAAGGTCTATGTACCCACACATACAACATAAATGAAATAAAAAAGGAAAAAAAAGGAAATTATGACCTTTGTAGAAAAAGAATATTAAAAACTGTTAAATGAGATATACCAGTCTCAGAAAACAAATACTTCGTTTTCTTTTTTGCTGGGTTTTAAAATTTTTGCTATATGTGTTTGCACACTTACATGCAGAAGTCAGAGGTCGACACTATTGTGTCTTCTTCAATCACTCTACGTGTTTTTATTATATTACTGTTATTATTGGTAGTGCAGTGTTAGTGTATTGGTAGTATTAGTGTAGTGTAGTGGTAGTGTGTTGGCAGTGTATTGGTAGTGTTAGTGTAGTGGTAGTGTATTGGTAGTGGTATTGTAGTGTTAGGGTAATGTTAGTGTAGTGTAATGGTAGTGTAGTGTAGTGGTAGTGTTAGTGTAGTGGTGGTGGTAGTAGTAGTAGCAGCAGTATTTTTAAAGATAGGTTTCACTATGTATCTCTGGCTGCCGTAAAACTATGTAGACCAGGCTGGCCTTAAACTCATAGAGATTCACCTGCCTCTGCCTCCCAAGTGCTGGGATTAAATTGTGTGCCACTACACCTGGTCTCTCACCAAATCTGGAGCTTACTGGTTGGTTAGATTGGTTGGCAATGAGCCTTTAGGATCCTACTACTTTTGTTTCACTGAAACTCAAGTCCTTATGTTTGTATAGCAAGCACTTTATCTATGGAACCATCTCCCCACTCTGCTAAATCCAGATTTAAATTTGTGTGTATATACATCACGAAATTACAAAGGGTCCATAATAGTAGAGGGAGAGATGGAAGCTGGGGAAGAGAGAATGGAGGAATACATGGTATATAAAAACAGAAGAGGGAACTATTTGGGGTGAGGAAAGGGATGGCAATGAGCAAGAGCAGGGCAGGATGGAAGGAAGATGGGCAGGAACAAAGTATACTGGCATAAATGTACAAAAAGACCACAGCAAAGTATATTACTTTTCATTCTATCTTTAAGCAACAACAACAAAAGATAAAAGGAAGGAAAAGAACTTTCCCATTTCATGTGCTTGGACATGCATCTAATCTATATACACTAGCTCCATTTCAAGGTGTTTACTCTTTCTAATGTTGGGACTGAACTTAGAGCCTTGCACATGCTAGGTAAGCACTGTAACACTGAGTTCATCTCCAGTCCTTAAAACAAAATCTTAATCATCATTGATACCACCAGGGTCTAGAGACGTGATTCACTGGTAGTATCCTACCTGGCAGACAGGAGACCCTGGGTTCAATCAACAACAAACAAGCCCCACATTTTACCAGTAAAACTTTTATCACTTAATTTATTTTTAATGCTTTCTTTTGTTTAGTTTTCTTTTCTGAAAAGAAACAGGGTTTTACTGACCAGGCTTATAATCCAAGTTAGTTTAGAACTCACTATGCATTCCAGGCTACTCTTAAATTTACAACAATTTTCCTGCTTCCTAAGAGATGCTACTACAGGTGAGCACCACCATGCTCTTCTTTATTCAGCCTAGAAATGCTGGTCAAGAATTCCATCACTGAATTAGATAGATGTCCAGTTCCTTCCTACTTAATTAAATAACATCAACCAATCACCCATAAAAGCTAACTGTCCTGTTATTCACAAATAATTTACTGAAAATGTTACCTCATCAGCCCGAGGAGCATCTTTATCTAATTCTCTCCAAGCATGTTCAAAACCAGGTTCTTCTGGAAATAGATCTGCAAAATCGTCTTCATCTTCAGAACTAGTTTCTATATTTCCTTTACCCCTTGCCAGATCAGGACCACTGTCACTTTCATCCTCCTCCTCACTATCTTCCTCCTCCTCTTCTTCTTCCTCCTCTTCATCATCATCAGCTGAAGTTCTATCATCACTTGTGACTTCATCTTCAGAGTCCTCATCACTTCCTATTTCACTAGCACTGTCTGAATCTTCCTCCAGGGCATCTTTGTCTCTTGCCAGAACGACCGGAAGCACTACAGCATATTGGGGGAGGGAGAAAGGAGACGTGTATACTGAATTAAGTTAAATCCAAATTATTGATATTAGATCCAGTATAACTCCTACAAAACAAAAGGAACATAAGTTCAGTAAAATTCAGGCTATATTAAGTTATTTAGGTGAAATCATAACATTTATAAGATAATGTAAGTGTATTTATATACTTATTTAGTATTCGTGGAACACCTGCTTAGTAGTTGTGCTTAGTACACAACCAGTGGCAAAAAATTATCAATTTCCAGTTGAATAAATAAGTGACAATCATTAAAATAAACAATCAAATCAATATGCACACACATACTCTACAAGCATTAAGTTTACAAGATTGTGGTTACTCAACAGCTAAATAAAGGAAGAAGAGGAATTAAGTAAGTAAGCACAGTGAGAAAACTGATGAAGGAAATTTGTTTTGAAGAGTAAGGAAAACATCTGTAAAGAGCTGTCAATGACAAAGAAGTAGCAATCATTTGTGGTTTATCGCTAGCAACAGTCAAGAAACAAACAGATTTATTAGATTGAGGATGTCATCTCAACTATACTATAGAAAACCGGGGGGTAGAGCGGGTGTGAATTATAAACGGAGGGACAGAATAGTACTCTAGACAAGAAAAGAAGGCAGTATAAAGCTGATGGCAGTAGAAATGTAACGAAGTGAAAAGTTTTGGTAAAACCAGATGGTACACTGGCAGGGATTTGATACAGGAACAAGAGTTTTAGAAGCGTCAATGAGTCCTGCCTTCCTAACTTACAGACACGGCCCACTAACCCTAGCTGCTAGACAGGTAAACATGAAACACTGGAAAATAATAAATTTGATGAGGAGATTTTATTTTAGTTGAGTTCTGGATATTTGAATTAAAAGAGTCTTCAAGGTTAACAGCAGCGTGCTTGCCTAGCATGCCCAAAGCACTAGGTTTGATCCTTGGAATGAAACAAAGCACCTTTGAGTCATGTAGCAGAAAACATCAATAGAGCTGTTTACTCTAAGAAATATGCTAAGTAAAGTGTGAGCTGGTGATTAAATTTATAACTCATTCATACATAACTGACAAAACTTGCATTATGAATGAAATTACCAAACAGCAATGGCAACTAAAAATTTCCTGCTAACATTTTATAAGTGTTAGCTAACCACATACCAAGATATTTTGTTTAAAATAGGATCTCATTTTTCTTTCACACCTTTGAAGGAGTTCGTACTTTACTTCTGAATACAATCACCTCTGCATGTGTGAGTATCTTATGTACTGCTTTTAAGCTGGTATTTCTGTTTCCGCTTACTCAAAAGGCTCTAAGTTTGGAGAATGAAAAGTAAATTTTAAAACTTAAGGTAAAAAGTGAAATTTGTTCTTAATTCTATGTTTTTATAATATTGATTCATTAATCCAATATTTATTGCCTACATTGAACTAGAAGAAAGCAAAGAGAAAATTTATACGCTCTCAAGTCTTTAATTATTAACAAATCATTTATAGTTAATGCACTATATTGAGGGAGTTAGAGAGATGGTTCAGTGGTTTATGGCCATGTAGAAAATCTGGTTTGGTTCCCAACACCCACATGGTGGTTCACAGTCACCTGTAACTCCAATTCCAAGGGATCCAATGCCCTCTTCTTTGACCTTCATAGTACACATACATACATACAGAACAACTTCAAAAACTATTTTTGTTTGCATATCTGTGCATGATATGCTTATGCATGGGGGAGGAGGGACATATGTCATATGTGGAGGCCAGCACAATTTTGTGCAGTTAGTTCTCTACTTCCTCCTTTACATGGATACTGAAGACCAGGTTGCAGGGCTTGAGCAGCAAGCACCTTTACCTGCTAAGCCATCTTGCCTGTTTTTAATTTAAAACAGGTTCTCGTGTAATCCACACTAGCCTCAAAATCACTATGAAGCTGAGGATGGCCTAGAACTGATCCTTGTGACTCATCTTAACAATTGTCAGGATTACAGGCATTATCAGCATGCCAGGACACAGGAAGTTATTTAAAGTAAGAAGATTTTGCAGAATACAGGGAGGTATTTAAAGTAAGATTTTGCAGATACTATTTGGCTGAAAACTACTAAAGTCTTTAAGATTTTACTGTCTAACAGAATAGGACTACTGATCTACATACCTCCAATCCTAAATTTGCTCAACAACTTCTTTGGTCCTCAAACTTAATCCCAATTGCTACCACCCCCAAAACCCAATACAAAAAATAAACAAATAATGCATCTCTTATGAATTTTTCTTTGGTTATATTTTGATTAGCCACTTTTGACATTTTAAAATCTCACTTATGGCCCTTCCTGCTACAATATTTTGTATTATAGGTTTGACATTTCTACTTTTGCTCTATGCTGTCCAATGTGGAAGGTAACAGTCAAAAGAGACAATTTAGTATTTGAAATATGACTCTTTCAATTTGAGATTAATACTAAATAAGACTATAAAAGTACAAATTTGTTATCATTAATTACATAGAAATGAAATTTTGATTTACTGGATATAAATAAATAAAATTATTTCATCTCTTTATTTTTCCTTTTTAATACCACTATTAGGAAATACAAATACCATGTATTTGTAGTGGATGGTGCCAGTAGACCAGGGTCATCATACAGAGTTAAGCAGGCTGTTATCTGCCTAAAAGCATCTACAAGAGGGAAAGAAGAGCTAAGACCAAATCTAATCTCCATTCAAGTCATACACTCTGCAGATGCTGCGCTTGCTCAAGGGAAATCAACACGCTGCTTCAGTCAAAGTTGTCATCCTCTCACCAAACTATGAACCCCAGAGCACTGTGTCTGTATGGTCACAGGATATGCCGTTTTCTAAATGAAACAGACTCGTGATAACCCTAAGGAGGGGACCATGCCTTACAGTAGTTGTCACGTAGCTGCATGAACTAAATGAAGAGTACCCAATTCTACTTACCTTCTTCAAGCACATCTCCTCCTATGTAACAACATATAGGAGCTCTCATCAATGTTCACTGGAAACCAACATCACTTACCCAAGCTTTCCTGCTTGTCTTCTGGTATCAAAACAAGAAATCATTGCATATTGTTTCTTTCATGGTTATATATTTTAAAATAAAACACTTGTCTGTTCTCATCATACTACAAAATAATTATTGTTTATGTTTTTAAAAGAGCACAGCAAAATAGTGTAATACAGAAGAATCAGTACTCCAAACCAACCTGATTGCTTTTCTCTTTTTGCCTTAGAACAAGTGATTGTTGGAGATTTCACAATTTCAGGGGTACTGGAATCTTTGGTCCTTGGTTTTCCTTTGGACAAAGAATCTGTACTGTGGTCGGTGATGTTCTTTTTCTTTTTTGTATCTTGTGGAAATTTTTCACTATCCTTTTTGGGACTTATTTCTGAATTTACCTTTTGAGATTTACACATGTTTTTCATCTTTTGAAGTCTTTCAGAATTATCTAAATCATTTTTGTTTATAGGATCCTTCTGATCAATTTTTTTGGTTTCTTTCTTTTTCTCCTCAATCAGCATTTTTGACTCCACTTCCTTTTCCGTCTGTTTCTTTTTCTGCTTTACTTTCTTTTGGTCCAGTACTTTGCTTTCTTCATCAGAGAGATCAGAATCAGAGTCTGAAAGGTCATAGAAGCGTTTCAGGTCTTCCGTCGTGCTGTGGGTGATAGGGCGCCCTCTTTTGTCAACAGCATAGTTCAATTTAAACTTTTTGTCATGGAACATGGCTCGAAATCTCTTGTCAATTTTGACCTTTCGGTCCTTTTCTGGCATTTCCCAAAATCTGGGATCCTTTGAAACCCGCCTAAACCGCTGGTCATTCATTATTTCTTGCTTGGATGACATTTTTACGGTCTTACTGAAGAAATATCCAGAAAAACCAAACACTGGAAAAATAAAAAATATTACAATGATAAATGGTTAACACCATTAAAATATAAGAAAAAAACCACATTTGTTCACTGTGTTCCCTCTCTCTCTCTCTCCCCCAAAATTAAGACAGCTTAAACTTAATTTCAGCTACCCAACCTATTCTGAGTCAAACTTAAAAAAAAGAAAAACAGTAAAATATAATTCTTACATTACAGCTTACTTGAAATGAATTTAAGACAAAGCAAACAGAATCCTAGGGTAATGTTTAGTAGCTGATTGCCTTCATTATTTCTGTATTTCTAGACTGTATTTGTCATCAATTAAAAGGTTACTAGGGCACGGAGTCACATACATGTAAAGCCAGGGTACTGAAGGCAGAGACATGATTATCAGGAGTTTGAGGCTAGACCTTATATAGTTAGAGGGAACCGATGGTCAGCCTGGGCTACACAGTGAGACTGCTTCAAGAAACCAAAGCCTGACATTTGGTAGAAGACCCAGTCAATGAAGTGCTTCCTGCTTAAGTGTGACACGGATTTGATCCTCTAGAAAAAAGAAAAAAGCTGGACAGTGGTGGCGCTCGCCTTTAATCCCAGCACTTGGGAGGCAGAGACAGCAGGCGGATCTCAGTGAGTTCGAGGCCAGCCTGGTCTACAGAGTGAGTTACAGGACTGGTAGGGGGCTACACAAAGAAACCCTGTCTGGAAAAATCAAGAATCCACCCCTCCCCCGCAGAAAACTAACTAACCAACCAACCAAACAAAAACTGCACACATTAAAAACCCTGCGTGCCTATAATCCTACAGCTGGTGGCTGGGGTGGGCAGAGGCAGGAGGAGGTCATCCAACTTAGCTTATTTGAGGAGCTTCAGGTTCCAATGAGAGCTCCTATCTCAAAAAATACGGTGGAGAGCAATTGAGGCAGCCACCTTTGGCACCCATAAGCAAGCACCCTCCCAAACATGTGAGCACACAAGGGCATGGACGTGTGGCCTGGTGTGACCAACTGTATATGCAACAGAGAGAGAGAAAAACAAAATAAGATTCTCAAATCTCAGCTGGTCTCATTTGTTTTTTATACTCTGGTTCCATTCTCTTTTGTTAATCTCATATTCTCAACTGGGATGCTGTACTTAAAAACCCTTTACATTCTAACGGGAAAAACATAAAACGTCACGGACGCGCTGATAAATTCCTCTCATCCCTACAGTCCACTCCTCCTCTGGCCTGGGAGCTCCAAGCTAGCTGGTTCCGGAACGATCCTGCCGCTTCACCAACTTTCGGGGAAAGCTCCTCGGCTGAGGTCGCTCGAGAGCAGCCCTGAGGAAAACAACGGGGCCAGAAAGGGACCAACAACGGGCGCACTACTCACAAACCCCAAGGCGATCCCGTCGGAGATCCACGCAGCCCAGCACTCGTCTTTTCGGATCCCGGTCTGAGTTCACATGGAGCGCACACCTACAATCCTTTGCGTGACGCTCGCCCGTAACGGCAGGCGAACTAGACCAAACTACTTCAACTTTGCCTTTTCCCGCTTGGAACAATTTTGTATCGTTGTGCTAGCCGTACTCCCACCTGCGCATGCGCACAATAGAAAACTATGCCCTGTGGCGCCGTGGCTGGAGATGCTGCGACCGGTTGTGCTTTGGCGGCTAACGCGGCTTGGGGGCCCAGCGGTCTCCGTAGGGAGTGGTGGTCGCAGGGAGGTAGCTTCCGGTGTCCCTCCTTCGGGCAGCACCTCGCCCAGAGCCCTAAACATCTTCGACAGGGAATTGAAGAGGAAGCAGAAAAACTGGGCAGCTCGACAGCCTGAGCCTATGAAATTTGACTACCTGAAGGAGGAGGTGAGACCGCGGGACAGCGACGGAGGGAGGCGCGGAGCCCGACAGGGCAGGCAGACCCACCCCGCCCTGTGACCTTGAGAAGAAGCTTTCACCTTTCCTGGCCTTGGTATTCTGAAAGTCCGGGGCTCAGGTTGTGTGCACGGCAGTCACTCATTCGCTTAGCAGGTACTGCTTCTGCTTGAGTTCCAGGGCAAAGCAATAACCTCCTCCCGCCCCCAAACACACACACTCCAGACCCCCGCTTTTGCAGGATAGCATTAAGGAGAGAGCGCGAGACACGCGTAGACAAGGAATGTAACTTCAGCCAAATGAGGTGAAGAAGAAGTGAAATGGCCTGATTGATGGATTAATGGCACGGATGGTCAAGAGCGGCGGCTGTGGAGAAAGATGTGAGAAATCAGTCGAGCTGAGATGGGAGATGGGATGAGTCACCTAGGAAAAGGAAGAGATAAGTCCCGAACTCCTGAGGCGGAAAGGACCTGTAAGGGGCCTTTCAATAAACACCTCTTTCTGTTCAAGAAAAGCACCCGGATTACAAGCACCCGGACTGAAGCCGCGTGAATGCAGAACTAGAATATATTCAGTAAAGTATACGAAGGGAAAAGACTAACCCTTGCCCATCACCCTCTCAAAACAAAAACAACTATATTCCGAGTTCTCAAATAGTAATCACAGCTCCAGAATGTTTATAAGAGGCTGAGTGAAGTGTGTGAAGGAATAGTAGACTTCAACGCCACATGTCACTAACCCAGTTCTTTCTTTCTTTTTCTTTCTTTCGATCGATCTATCTATCTATCTATCTATCTATCTATCTATCTATCTATCTATCTATCTACCTACCTATCTATCTATCTATCTATCTATCTATCTATCTATCTATTTATAGGCAGGGTTTCTTTGTAGCTTTGGAGCTTGTCCTGGAACTAGCTCTTGTAGACCAGGCTGTCCTCGAACTCACCGAGATCCGTCTGCCTCTGCCTCCCGTGCTGGGATTAAAGGTGTGCACCACCACTTTTATGTTGTGCTGGGAGAGCTGGTCAACTGTATTTTTCCAGACTTGATGTTCACTAATTTGCAAAAGTTACTAAAAGGACAAAAAAAGCAGTTAATGTAGATCGGGTGAGTGTGGTAACACACATCTGTGATCCTGGCATTCAGGAGGCTGAAACTGGGGATTAGAGGGTTGTTATGAGTTCAGAGCCAGCCTGGGTGTCCTTTCTCAGACAAAACATAGTTAATTCATTTAGAAGCTACACAAAGTTTGTACTAAGTTTTTATTAAGTGATCATTTATATACTGATTTATAATCCTTAGCCAAGGTGAATAATTTTTAATTTAATGTATTTCATGCCAATGTCTGTGAACACTAACATATCAGTTGTTAGGAAAAATCCTAAGACGAGCCGCTCCGCCGGTGCAAAGAAATCCAATCAGGCCAAATCAAACCGAATTAAAATGTCCATGTGTTATTAAATGCAACACTTTCTATTGGCCTAGAGCTTGGCAGGGGAGACAGAAAACCGGGGAGCATATGCAAAACCCAGGACCATGTCTTCCTCCCCTGGGCTCCCACTTAAATACCCTGTGGGAGGGATCAGGACCTAGCACACTCTGGGATTTGGAGTCCAGACCAATGCAACTCCCAGGCCAGGAGCCTGGGATGGATGCCAGGGGCTGGGGGAACACTCCCAACTTAACATTACAGTTGTCTTGGTCTTAGTTGGGGTTTCTATTGTTGTGATAAAACACTATGATCAAAAACAACTTGAGGAAGAAAGGATTTATCTTACAACTCCCAAGTTACACTTCATTTCTGAGGGAAGTCAGCCCAGGAACCTGGAGGCAGGAACTGAAGCAAAGGCTATGGAATCATGCTCCTTGCTGGTTTGCTCCTCACGCCTCACTTATCCTGCTTTCTGGTGCCTAGGGGCGGCACCACCCAGGATGAACTGGATCTTCCCACATCCATCATTAATCAATAAAGTGCCCTACAGCCTGGCCTATAGGCTGATCTTATGGAAACTTTTTCTCAACCAAGATTTCCCTCTTTCATATGGGCAGTGGCCAGCCCACACTTTTAATTCCAGCACTCAGGAGGCAGAGGTAGGCGATCTCTGTGAGTTTGAGGCCAGCCTGGTCTACAACTACAGGACAGCCAAGGCTGTTACACAGAGAAATCCTGCCTTGAGAAATCAAAGGGGTGGGGAGGAGAAGGAAAGAAAGAATTCTCTCTTCTAGGTATGTCTGGATTTGTGTTGAGCTGACAAAAACCAATCAGGATAATGTTTCTTTCCTTTTCATTCTTATCTTGCATCACATGGAATACAAAGGCCAAGTATGTATACCATTTTTAAAGACTGTTTAGAGCAAGTTTTTGCTTTGTTTGTTTTGGGGCAGAATCTCACTGTAGGTCTGGTTGTCCTGGAATTCACTATGTAATATAGACCAGTCTGGCCTCAAACTCACAAGAGACCCACCTGTCTCAGCGTCCTGATCTTTATGTTGTTTTTGTGGTTTTGAGACAAGGGTCTTTATAGTATATGCTAGCTTGGAACTCACCATGTCACCATTTATTACAGACTAGCCTCAGGTTTGTAGCAATCCTCCTGCCTCAGCCTCCTGACTGCTAGGTCTATAAACATATATAGACATATATAGCTGCCACACTTAGCAGATTATTTAATCTTGGTTTTATTAAATTGGCTCTAAAGTAATTTGCTTCACTTTGTTTCCAGGGATACGTTTTATAATATTTTATCTATATCCAGTATTTGTAAAGAAAGTTGCGGTGGGAAAACAGAAAATGGGATTACAAAATACTTATCATTTTGAATGACTCTTAGGTTTAAAAAGAGAATGTTACTTCTCTGTTAAACCTCTGTGTATTTAACCCACTGACTTGAAATCTTTCAGGTTGGCAGTCGGATTGCAGACCGTGTGTATGACATAGCCAGGTAGGAGATGATGTTATAATGAGCTGCAGTCCCTCTTTTTCTCCCTCTCCCCGCTTGTCTTTCTTCTCTTAGTCTCTCTCTCTCTCTTTCCCTAAACAGCGTCTTGCTCTAACTCCTAGGCCTGGCCTTGACCTGAGCATCTGGGAATACAGACGTGCTCCACCACTCCTGGTGAGCAACAAAGTCTGTCCTTGAGTGGAGACTTGAAACTAAATGATGAGAACTTGATGTGTGAAAATTTTATTACCAGAATTGGCGATATAAATAACTCTAAACATCTTCTTTCCTTTTCAGATGCTGGGGATAGGGTCTCCCGATGTAGCCCAGGCTTGCTGGCTTCCAGCTCATGGCACTCCTCTTGCCTCTGCCTCCTGAGTGCCGAGATGATGAGCATGCATGGCCCCACCTGGCTGTCCTTTTTCTTGTCTGGGAAAGCAAATGACATTTTCTTCATTGTTATTTTCTCTTTTAAAAAATAGTATGGATGTAAAACTTTTGCCTTTCTTTAAGCCTGAATGGCTGATCTATTTGGTTTAGACCAAATTTAGTAATAGAGAGATTGCTCAAAATATAGAACTAAAATGTTGTCTATATGTGTAATCTTAAGGTTTATTAAACCTACATTTAGGTTTTACTGAAATGAGCAATAGAATCTTTTGCCGTTTGAGTGAGGGAGAAAGTGTAGCTAGATTCGTTTCCCAGTTTTTGTCGGTAAGGCCTTGCCCATTTTATCTTACACATTGCTAATGGTAGTACAGATTTTATGACAGTTCTCTGGGGAATGACTTGAGAAAGAACACTTTCATTAAGTAGTATAAAAATCTTGATGTATCTGTTGCTCCATGCTCTGGGCATAATGAAAGCTTTATTGATTCTGGCTTGTCACCATGCAGTGGAACTGCAGCCAAATAATGGCTTTATACTAGACTTGCTCTCCGACATTAGCAAATCACTCCTTTTTGTTGACTTTTCTTTACATGACCTTCATTGAATTATACCAATATAGGATAAATTTATCACAGTTTTCTGTTAAAAGCAGGGAGAGTTTTATAAAATCACAGGCTCTCACAAATGAAAAGGAGTCTATAATTTTGTAAGGTAGAAAATATTTCCTTATGGCAAAAGGCCCCCTCCTTTCATTTTTGTCACTAATTATTTTAAAGACAAAAATAGCTTATTGTTACCATTTCCCTGAATTATACTTTGTTTGTGATTTAATGAATGAAGCATTAAGTTTTGCTTTTCAGTTTGGAGTTCACAAACTATGCCACAGCTATAAGGATAATAAAGCTAAATCCATGAAGATTGTTGTGTTTGTGACTGAAATTTTTATTTAAACATTAATTGTTTGGAATTAAATTCTTTAAAATACCTTTAAATGTTCTTGTGTTGACATCCTGTCCATTATTAGTACTTAACAGGCCTGGATTTGTGCTTACCATGCACAAGCCTACAGTTTCCATCCTTTATATCATAAGGATAAACAGATAAACAGCTGAGAAGTTTGTATTATCAGTGCTCTGCTTTATTAATTTAAAAAACTACACAGATTTTTACTACAATTTTTAAGAGTTGGGGCCTTTTAGTACTGTTAAACAGTGAGATAACTCATTTTTCTTAAACAGTTCAACTGAGCTAAATATTTTATACATAGTAAAAGCAGTAATTTCTTTTGTTTTCTGAAGACTTTGTTTTTAATTTTATCTGTATATATGTGCACCTGAGCATATGTAAATGCAGGTACCTACAGAGTCTGGAAGAACTAGGGTTGCAGGTAGTTGTTAGCCACCTGATACGGGTGTCGGAAACGAGTCTGGGTCCTCTGCAAATGCAGCAAGTGCTTTTATTCATGGAGCTCTCTCCCTGGCCCCACACTTTTTCATTTTATGGATGAGGTAACAGATGTAGCCAGGCTTAATCACGTTTAGTCACATGTGCAGGTCCAAAATTTGAATACATGTTTTTCTAATTCTAAAAGTATTATTTATTGTTCCTTCATAATCCAGACATAAAGCATTAAGTAAAATAAAATGTCAGCAGTGTTTTTCCATCTGGTATTTTATAATTTGACATGCATCTTTTTATCATTTTTTTATGTGTATGCATGAACATATGTGCATACATGTGTTGCAGGTATGAGTGTGCATATGTACTTAACGCATACTGAAACGGGAGGTTGATGTTGGGTGTCTTCCTTGCCACGTTTCCCATATTTTTTGAGACAGAGTCTTGCCTGGACCTTGCTGATTGTACTAGACTGGTATCTCAGATAGGGTTTCTAATGCTGCAAGGATACACGGAGATCAGGGCAACTCTTATAAAGGAAAACAGTTAATTGGGGTGTCCTGCTTACTGATATATAATCAATAAAAACTCAGAGACATATATTGGGGTTCATCTGGAAGACCAGAAAAGCAAAGCAGCCATTTACTGGCTCTTACATTAACCTCAGTTCAAAAATGGTGATCCTGCCTCCGGGAAACCTCAGATGAGATTGAGACTGAGAGCTGTCTCCTCCCATTTTATAATCTTCTCTAGGGCTGGGATTAAAGGCGTGCACCACTCCGGCCTGGTTTCTATGGCAAGCTACTGGGATTAAAGGTGTGTGTTATTGTGGCTATTTGGATTACAGGTGTGTGCCATTACTGCCTGGTCTGTAAGGCTGGCCAGTGTGACAGTTTTACTTTTCTGATTTCAGGCAAGCTTTATTTATTAAAATATAAATGAAACGCCACTACATTTTACAGTTCAGAGGTTCAATCCTTTATCATATGGTGTAGAACATGGCGGTATACAGGCAGACATGGTGCTGGAGAAGTAGCTGGGAATCCTACACCTTGCAGGCAACAGGAAGTTAACTGAGACACTGGGTGGTAATCCTGAGCATAAGAAATCTCAGCCTGCTCCCACAGTGACACACTTCCTCTAACAAGGCCACACCTACTCAACAAGGCTACACCTCCTAGTAGCGCCACTCCCTTTGGGGGCCAGTTTCTTTCGGGCTGCCTAGCAAGCCCCAGAGATCCATCTGTCTCTTCCTTTCCAGCTCTGGGATTATAGGCACGTGCTGCCACACTTAAACTTCACTTCTGTGTGGGTGCTGGTGCTTGGAAGTCATCATGTTCACATGGAAAGCACTTTATTTGTGGGCCATCTCCTCAGCCCAGTTTTGGCAACCATTCTTTTTTTTAATTAATTTATTTTTTAAAATTTCATTTTACAACCGGGCGGTGGTGGCGCACGCCTTTAATCCCAGCACTCGGAGGCAGAGGCAGGTTCATCTCTGTGAGTTCGAGACCAGCCTGGTCTACAAGAGCTAGTTCCAGGACAGGCTCCAAAGCTACAGAGAAACCCTGTCTCAAAAAAAACCAAAAAAAAAAAATTTTTTTTTTTTCATTTTACATTCCAACCACAGTCCTCTTCCCCTGCATCTCCCTTGGCAGCCATTCTTAAGAAAAATTAAACTGCAGTTCTTTCTGTTCTTTTGTTTATAGAAACAAAATTGATGTGTGTCCCAATTTAGAGGAGCTAGTCTGATACGGAGCTTTACTCTTCTGTCTCTGGGTTCAGATTGACTGAATTCAAGTATTGATTGCTGCTTATACGAGATGTTTGAGTTGGGACCTGGAAGACAGCTCAGTAGTTAAGAGAACTGGTTGTGCTTCCAGAGGACTTGGGTTCTGTACTCAGTACCCACATGGAGGTTCACAGCCATCTGTAACTTCAGTTCTAAGGAATCGAATGCCCATGTTTGGTTTCCATGGTCACTAGGCGTGCACATTATATACATACAATACATTGCCATCAAAACATTCAGATATATAAAATAAGAATTAAAAATATGTATTTAAAGAAAAAGAAGATATTTGAATTGACTTACTTAGACCTGGACACTTGGAACTTACTGTACTCCTAAGTGTTCAATAATTCTTGAAGTTTTTAGAGGCCGTGTTTTTAGTTGTTTTTTCCCCTGTGGTGCTGGAGGTTGAATTGAGTGTCTTGCACATGCTAAACAGGAACTCTCCCACTGAGCTATATCCCCAGCCCAAGTTTAAAAACGCTTGATGACATTTCATATGGAGAGTAGAACGTTATATCTTCTGCTAGATAGAGCTGGTGCGTCAAGGCTCCTGAAAGGTGTAGTTAGTAAAATGTTTTTACTTGAGATTAGTTCTTGATTATTTTATGGACTGTATTGCAAAGCTTAGCTTTTATGTCTGTTTTTTTTTTCAGAGATTTTCCCCTTGCACTGGATGTGGGATGTGGAAGAGGCTACATAGCACAACATTTAAATAAGGTATTTTATACACTGGCTTAATCAATTTTGAAAAATAAAATTGTGTGTGCGCACATACATAAGCATCCCTAGAGCATTTGTGTGTGCAGGTACATGTGGTTTTTAAGACAAGTCTCTTGTAGGCCGTCTTCTTGCCAAGTAGGCTATACTAGGGGGCCAGCCCTGGGAGCTGCCTGTCTCTTCTACCCCTTTGCAAGCATTGCAGGAACGGCTGTGATCAGCTATCTTAAATGTGGGTTCAGGGAATTGAACTCACAGTGCTTTGAAGGCAACCGAGTCATCTCCTCAGCCCCTAATTTAGTTTATTTTAAGAAAAGACTTCCCTTATCACTTTAGTTGAATATTTAGATTTTTATTATCTTAAAATTGCTAAACATTTATTCAGTGCTTTAATATAATAATTTTAAAGGAACTTAAGTATTCTAAAGAAATTCAGTAATTTCTTTAAACCTATATAATTTTCTCTTTATTTTCATTTTGTTTAAGCATTTTTGATAATTACCTGGTGTGTAGTGCAATGGCAGAACGCTTGTTCATTGTATGTGAAGCTCTGGATTTGACTCTTGGCAATGTAGAGTACATACATTCATAATCAAGAAAAATTAATTTTATTAGTTAGAAACTGTATAAAATATATATATCATTTAATAGTACTCATAATAGTTTATTTCACATTTTCTAACACAAGCCATGTCTTAGGATTTCTATTGTGAGCCACCTGACATGGGTAGGAAATGAACTTGAATTCTCTGAAAGAGCAGAATCTACTCTTTAACTTCTGAGCCATTCCAAAACTCCTGAAATGTCTTAAGAAAAATCTGTTTTGATAAAGCATATATTTGGGCTGGAGTGCAGGGGAATTGTGAGACTCCCCAATTGCTACTACTGACAATAAGAAATGCCATAGGAAATAAAACATTTACTGAAGTGCAGTGAAAGTTAACGGTTAGGAGAAACTTTGATGTAGTTTTAGAGGCACAGGATGTTGGTTGGTGGTTCATAGCATTGAAAGTCAACATGGCAGAAGGTCAGGAGAGTGCTGTGGAGTAGATACAGTGATCCTTAGGGACTATTAATTTGGCATGTCATGTAAGAATAAGTAAAGAAGAGAGAAAGACAGATTCATTAGGAGGCAGTGTTAAAGGCAGTGCAGTCTTGGGAGATGAACAGATTTAAAAGCTGTAATGTATGAAAAAGCTAATAAACCCAGCAGAACTTGATGAGTGATTGGATCTGGAATTCTCTTTTGGATTTCATATATATCTGCAGCTCCACTCCTTTCTGCCTTTGTCTCACCACACTGACCCTAGCTGTCTGCACCTCTTGCCTAAACTGCTGCAATTACTTCCACATTGGTCTCCCTGCTTCTGTGTTTGGCCCCAACAATCTGTTCTCACTTCAGGGTGATCCTTTTAAAGTAGAAGCCAAGTCATACTCCATCTTCTCAGACTGTTGGTTTCTCTTCTAACTTCGTCATAATCATGTATCTCATGTGTATGTTTGTATGTGTGCAAGCGCATGCCTGTCACACCACACCTACGGAGATCAGAGGATATAGAAAGCTGATTATATCCATCTACCATGTCAGTTCTGGTGACTGAACGTAGGTCATCAGATTGGCTGGCACCTGGCATCTTTACTCACTGAGCCATCTCAACAGTCCTACGGTTACTTTCTAAAACAGTGCTCCACTTTTGCCGACCCTAAGTTCCATAGCACTTATTAGTCCATGGTGGATGTTTGTTTCTTTAGTGTTCTTTCTTCTTGTACTAGAGTTGCTAATTTTTGTTCATTACCAAAATCATAGTTCCTATATAATCCTCAATGAATAATCTTGACATCATGAATGTATGAATGTTAAGGTAACTTCAACTCAGTAGGTGTATAACTCAAGTGATAGAACACTTGCCTAATGTGGACTCTACTACTAAGCTGTGTCTCTGGCCCATCTTTTGATTTTTAAGAAGCAGAAGTCAATTTAAATACAGAGATTTTTTTGGAAGTTCTCATGCAACTCAGATTTTGCAGTAGAGCTGTCTCTCACAAGGTATTGGGACTTAGAAACTGAAGTATGAAGTATACCCCTGTTTACGTACTTTCTGGGGTTACATGGATGCTACATGTTATCTAATGCTTTCTCTCTTGTATACTATCCCTAGTGTTTTTGATATATGTGGTCCCAATCTAGCTTTTTCCAGCTCATAAGAGCTAATTGTTATCTCTCTCCAACTCTGTTTAATGGAATTGTATTGATAACCTGAAATCAGCTATGGCAGAAATAGTCACACCGTAGAAACTGTCAAGTACTACTATTTTGTAACCCTGCCAAGAGTTAGATTTTAGCAATCACTGCTCTAACCTTAAGTGTATGTACTATCTAGCTCAGAGACCTTTACTCCTGTCTATATGTATCTTTGTTCAGATTTTCAAGAGAGAGGCTGATAGATAATCAGATTGATTAGCTTCTTTCTTTGCTTTCCACAGTAGTGTCTTGGAACTGGCATCTGAGAACCAGTTCTGTACCTCTCTTACCAAGCGTGCGTCAAGTAGCATGTAATCCACCTTGTCGGAGTAGCTATGCCATGGAAATCAGCAAACAGTTCAACTTAAGTACTCTCTTTCTCCTTCCCGCTGCCTAACAAAGTATTGGTAGGGTATACGCTTGCTAAGCACTGAAACAAAAAAGTGAATGTGCTGTGAGCTGAAAAGTAGCGGTTTCTCTAACAGCTGTGAAGCTGTAATAGAAATCACTGAAGATGTTTCCTGGAGGTCTCATGGTGCTATAGATGAAGAGATAGACTGACCAGGACTGACCCAGTGAGAACAGACTGCTGTGCTCATGCTTAGACCGTGAGACACCACTAGGGGGCGATTTAGTGGCTAGTGACATGGTTAGGCACCAAGAATTGTGGACCTCATGAGTAGAGTCCTTAATTATAAGCAAAAAACTATCAAGTGTACGTTTCTAATACACAAATAAAACTGGATAAAACCAAAAAGGTGCTCAGAGGTAAGAATTTTATCAAGACTGGGAAGATAATGCTTGTTGTTAGGTGAGAAGAAGAGACCAGAAGACCCAGATTAAAGATTAGAGGACGTAATGATGGAGGGATCAGGATCCTGGAGAAAAGAGCAGCATGGGGAATTTAAAATGGGACAGAAGTCGTCCGAACCCTTTTACTCTTGGAAAGAAGAGAGGATCATTGAAACGGAAAACAAGCCCCTTAGCTCCTTTTTTTTTTTTTAAATATTTTTTTATTTATTATGTATACAATATTCTGTCTGCATGTGTGCCTGCGGGCCAGAAGAGGGCACCAGACCCCATTACAGATGGTTGTGAGCCACCATGTGATTGCTGGGAATTGAACTCAGGATCTTTGGAAGAGCAGGCAATGCTCTTAACCGATGAGCCATCTCTCCAGCCCCCTTAGCTCCTTTCTTGCTTTCTCTGTAAACTCTTTGAATGGAGACTGAAAGCAGGAATCTGTCCCAAGTCCTTTTATCACAGGAGTGTGCAGTCTAGCTTGTAGCGTGTTGAACCAAAAGTTCATGTAGTTGAGTAGAGTAGGATGTATTCTTTATTTTCTTAAATAAGTTAAATGTATTAATATAATTAATTCCATGTATTAAATCTGTGGTATTCATTATGTCTTCTAAATTTGCATATCATACTGGAATTGATCAGAAAAAAAATTATAAAACTAAAAATTATAATTTACTCCTTTGGAAATTTTGGTAATTGTTTTTCTCTGATTATCCCATTGCAGGAGATTGTGGGAAAGATTTTCCAAACAGACATTGCAGAATATGCTTTGGTAGGTAGCTTTTTAATACTCTTTGTTTCTGACCACTTGGCTTAATTTTTCGTTCTTTATTTTTTTCACAATGTAATGTAAGTGTAATTGTAAATATGTGCACATGAGGAAGACTCAAACAATACAGGAATACAGTAAGGAAGAGATTCCTAATCTTACTTCCCAGAGACAGCTGTTGGGGCCGTTTGGCCTCCCACCTTTATAAACGTGTAACTACCTCCATTGCCCAAGTTCATGTGGACAGTAGCACATTAACATTCCATGGTTTTATGGGATGTTATTCTGTTTTAATATTGTTTATATGTGTGTACCTCTTTTTAAAATGACCACATAGCCTGCCAGTATGTGTGCATCACATAGCAGATTTATCTGAGCAGGTCTAGGACCCTGCTGCAGTTCTGGTTTCTCGGTAGCATCCTGCTGTTAACATCACCTGGGAAGTGACTGTGTGTTTGGTTATTTACTTTTTTGCCTGTAGATAAATTCTTGATAGAATTCATTTGTTCATTTATTTTTCATGTTCAGTATATGTCTCCAGATTGTCCCTAGAAAGATGAATGAGTTTTTTCCATGAAAGTGCTTTTTTTCTTCTTTTCTTTGGCAACCCTGGTCCAACCCCTTTTGTTTTTGTTACTCAGACAAGTAAAAATTTAAAATTGCCTTTTTAATTTTTTCTGTCTTTGATTACTAGTTCAGTAAAATGACTTGATAGATAGCTTGATTATTGGATTTTGGCCATTTATCAGTCAGTCAGAGTCTTTCTGTCTGTCTTTGTTTCTCTCTGGGCATGGGTGTGTTTCTTTCTTTTTCAAAATTTATTTTTAGTTAGTATTTATGAGTGTTTTGCCTGGTTGTATGTATGTGCATCATGTGCATGCCTGTTGCTTGTGAAAACAAGAAGGGGGCATCGGGTGCCTTGAAACTGGAGTTACAGGTGGGTGTGAGCCTTTTTGGGTGCTGGAAATTCAACCTGGGTCCTCTGCAAAGAACACAAACTAACTGCTTGCCTGCCTCTTTCTTTCTTTCTTTCTTTCTTTCTTTCTTTCTTTCTTTCTTTCTTTCTTTCTTTCTTTCTTTCTTTCTTTCTTCTCTGGCTGTCTGGGAACAGCTGTGTAGACTAAGTTAGCCTAGAACTCACAGAGGTCTTCCTGCCTCTGCCTTCAAGTGCTGGGATTAAAGGTGTGCAACACCACACCTGACACTCATTGGTATTCCTTGACTTTGAATTTTTAAAATAACTTTGTAGTGCCTTTCCTCTGACCTTCATTGACTAGAGCTTATAGGTGTATTTTTTTTTCTAGGTCATTTGTAAAAGTTTATATTTTAGAGATGTTAACTCTTCATAATTTATAATACACCCACTTTCACATTGTTTATTGCTTTTTAGAAGCTTTTAAAAATTAGTTTGTCATAAAACCTCAGTATTTTCATTTACAGTTTCTAACATTTTAGTCATGTTTATATAAGTTTTAAAAAAAAATCTTAAGAGTATAAAGGGTCACCCAGATTTACATCTAGTACTTTGTGGCTTCATTTGTTGCACTGAAATGTTCAGTTGCTGAGATTTGTTTTAGTGTGAATGGATGTATTTCTTACATTCTTTTGGAACAGCTAGGTGTTACTTAATTCTTGAGTGCCTTTTGTGTGCCGCATTTTGTGCTGTTTTGTTTTTTGGTAGACACTACTGAGTGAATATAACATTAACAGTATTTAACAATGATTGTCTTAGTAATTGAAACTATTTAAATATGTTGAACTTGTTTTTTTACCATTAGAAAAATTCTTCAGAAACAGATATACCTACTGTGAATATTTTAGCTGATGAAGAATTCCTTCCCTTTCAAGAAAACACATTTGACCTGGTGGTTAGCAGCTTAAGGTTAGTAATCCATTTGAACTTTTAAAAAGTATGTTAAAGAGGCTGGAGAGATACCTTGTTTGGTAAAGTGCTTGCTGCATAAGCATGAAGATCGAAGTTTGAGTTACAAAACCCACATAAAGGCAGGCATGGTGGCACATACTTGTAGTTTCAACTCTGGAGAGGCCGTGACAGGCAGCTCCCTGGGGCTCCATGGCCAGCAGCCGCTCAGTCTTACTTGATAAGTTCCAGACCAGTGAGAGACTATTTAAACAACAATATGGTGAGAACCTAAGAATCAAGCATGAGGTTAGCCTCTGATCTCCATGTGCACGCATTTGCAGGCATGTACATGTGTATATATATATGTTATAAATAGGTCTAATTTACATTGTAATAAGGATAGCATTAATGGATTAATTTAACTCCCTACCCCCACCCCACTTGGAATTAAACCTAAGGCCTTGGGTTAAAGACAAACACTCTGTTACTGAGCTATATAATCTTCACCATGATAGAATAAATTCTTTTTAGTTACAAACTGGTTATCTTAGTTTGTAATCTTTAAGATTCTTCTGTTTAACAATTAAGGATTCAGGACATCCTAGTGGAAATACGATGTTGTGTCTTAAATTTATTTTTATTCTCAAGTTGCTAGCACTCTTTTCCTGTCACACGTGAGAGAATAAACATGAGATTTAAAAGTTTCTTATGTATAAGTTTAGAACACTTTGCTTTGATTTCCATTGTCTTAAAAGGTGGTGGATCTACTATCTACCTTTTAAAACAGAAAAAATTCAGACACTGGCTGCTCCAGCTACTGGCAAGGGTGTAGAGAACTCTGGTGGGAATGCAAAATGATAGAGACACTTTGAAAGACTGTTTGATGATTTCCTGAAACTTGAACATACTTTGTTAGGTTCCAGCATTTATACTCATTGGTATTTACCCAAAGAAAGGAAAACTTATATACATACAAAATTGTTAACACGAGTAATAAATTGTTCTTTAAAAAAGTTTTAGATTTATTTTGTTTTATGCATGTGAGTATTTTAACTGCATGTATGTATGTGCACTACATGTATGTCTGGTAGTTGTAGAGGCCCGAAGTGGATGTAGAGTCTTCTGGAACTGGAGTTACAGATAGTTGTGAGCCACTGATTGGGTGTTAAATACTGAACTCGGTCCTCTGCAAGATTAACAAGTACTTTTCACACTGCAGCTATGTTATTAATTGCTAGAACTTGGAAGCAACTAAGATGTTGTCTTAGGATTACTATTGCTGTGATGAAAAACCTTGACCAAAGCAACTTAAGGAAAGGGTTTATTTCACTCACAGTTCCATGTAAAGTTCATCATCAAAGGCAGTGAGGGCAGGAACTCAAGCAGAGCAGGAACCTGGAGGCAGGAGCTGATGCAGGGGCCATGGAGGAGTGCTGCTTCCTGTTCCTGCCTTGCCTCCCCTGCCTTGTTCAGCCTGCTCTCTTACAGAACTCAGGACCACCTATCCAGAAGTGGTACCACTCATAATGTGCTGAACATTCTCCCACTGATCACTAATTAAAAAAATGCCCTACAGACTTGTCTACAGCCCAGTATTATTTCCTACAGCCATTTTCTTAATTGGTTTTTTCCACTCAGATGATTTTAGCTTGTGTCAAGTTAATGTAAAACTATCCAGCACAGATGCCCTTCAGTACTAAGTGGTTGAATTGTACATCTTGACAATGGAATTATTTAGCACTAAAAAGAAATAAGCTGTCAAAACATGAAAAGAATGCAGGAAACTTAGACATGTTACCAAATGAAAGGTTATTCAGAAAGCTGTGTATGCTGGTTCCAACTGTATGACATTCTGGAAAGGATAAAAATATGGAGACAGTTAAAAAGGTCAGAGTTGTGGAAGTGTAGAATTTAATTTCAGATTTCAAAATTCAATTCTTTTTTGTGGTTTTAGTCTAGTGATAATTATATTAATGAAGGCTAAGCAACTATGTGTTTCTATTTTAGTTTGCATTGGGTGAATGATCTTCCTAGAGCACTTGAACAGGTGAGAAAACTTGTGTTGACTCAGTTCTGTGTTAGGTTATTATCACAGATTGACAAATGTTGCTGTTTTCACGTTCAAAAGTCTGACAGTGTGGAATGAAACCAAGTGTTTATAATGTTCTGTGGGCTGGGTATCCTCGGTACTCTCTTTGACCCACAAATATATACATTAGGTGGCATTCCTTGAGAACTTTAAGAATAGTTGGTTGTAGAGATGTTTATATTTATAAAAGACTTAATTAATTACTGTGTAAAATAATATTGGTATCACAAAGCGTGTTCTTTTGTTTGTTTTTGTTTTTTGAGACAGGGTTTCTCCATGTAGCCCTGACTATCCCAGAACTCACTTTGTAGACCAGGCCTGCCTCAAGCTCAGAGATCTGCCTGCCTTGGCCTCCTGAGTGCTAGGATTAAAGGTATGCACCACCACTGCCTGGCTACAAAGCATATTCTATATTAAAATTTCTTCTCTTCCTTTATTGCTTGTGAACGTTTTCTGCATAGGAACTTGCTTGTGTCTCTCCTTTGTACTCTCAGGAAGTGTTAGATGAATGCCTGTAGATTGGTGTTTGTCAGTGGGTGACAGAGGGTAGAGGGTGGTGGGTAGATGATGGTGTGGTCAAGTCAAGTGGGGTGTTCCAAGGGAACAGTTAGAAGGAAGCATACAGGGCTGTGTGAGGACTGGCCTCCACTAGGCTGAAAGTCATGAGCTGTCACTTGTACTGCATTTCTTTAGTCAGAAAAAACCACAAGTCCAGCCCAGATTAAAGGATTGGGAAATAAATGACATCCGTTGGTGGGACATCTTACAGAATTGCTTTTCAGAGGGCATGAACAGGAAGAATTATAATTTTGATGAGCTATCATTCTTTAAATGTTTTTTCCTGTAGTATTCTGTTACTGTAAAAAGCAAGTTGTGTCTATAAAATTTGAAAATATAAGACATCTTATAGATACTAGTATCATTAGTGAATGTATTGTCTGTCTTTGTCATTACTATACAACATTACTACATACCATACAGCAGTGAGTCTGGGTTTCTTGTCTGATTGGCAAAATAAGGTTGGTAGTCATAAATACTAACTTGGATGCGTTTGTTTTGATATTGCTGTCTGTAAAATTTGAATAGTTTTGTTATATTTATTACAGATTCATTATGTCTTAAAACCAGATGGGGTGTTTGTTGGCGCGATGTTTGGCGGTGACACGCTCTATGAACTCCGGTGTTCATTACAGTTAGCAGAAACAGAACGGGAAGGAGGGTTTTCCCCACACATTTCTCCCTTCACTGCTGTCAGTGACCTAGGACATCTGCTTGGGAGAGCTGGTTTCAATACCCTGACTGTGGTGAGTATCCGGAGAACTGAGTAACCCACTCATCAATTGTATTGCTTGGGGCAGTTCTCCTTGCTTTACCTTGTTTTGGAGGGGGTATCCTTACTGTCTTTAGTGCGCATAAACACAGCCTGACTGAAATGTCAGGAGCAGAAACTCTTCAGTATTTAGATTTCAGGATAAGTAGCTCCAAAAAAATGACCACAGTTTATGAAGAGACTTCCCTTTAAATAATACGTATTTATCTTGTGAGGGAGGAAGGTATGGCATGGTCAGAAGACAACGTTTCGGAGTCAGTTCTACTGTGGGCTTCAGGACTGAACTCAGTGCTTTACCTGCTGAGTCGTGTTGCCAATCCCTTTGAGAGAGACTTTTACAAATTCTACTCCATTAGAATCTTCAGATCCAAGTTAGATGTAGTATGGGATGAGACCACTACAAATGTGATACTGGGTATCCATTATAGGGGCATCTGTGGTACTGTTCCCACCACCAGCTCTTAATTCAAGCGTACACAAATGCCTACATTCTCCTAGTCTAGGCTTACTTGAGTTAGAGCATGTTCTATTTCCGTCAGTGCTGCATGATTAATAAACACTCAGAGAGAGAAATTGGGATTCAGCTTGAAGATCCAAAAACCAAAGCAGCCAGCCACTGGCTCTTACCTCCACCTGGTCTGAAGTGGCGATCCTGCTTCCAGGAAACCTCAGAATGAGGCTGACTGAGAGCTGTCTCCTCTCGTCTTATAATCCTTTCTAGGACTGGGATTAAAGGGGTGCACCACTAGGATTAAAGTCATGCAACACCCGGTTTCTGTGGCAAACTACTGTGGCTACTGGGATTAAAGGTGTGTGTTACCACTACCTGGTCTGTAAGGCTGACCAGTGGGGCTGTTTCACTCTCTCATCTTCAGGCAAGCTTTATTTATTAAGATACAATTGAAATGCCACTGCAAGTCAGGGTGGAGAGTTTTACAGCGAGGATCCATAAGCAGGAAGTGTAGAAGAAACAAATTCTACGTAGACTGATGGGATAGTGCACTGGATATAAATTTATTTTGGGAAGGTGTTTTTGAGAGTGGGTCTGTTACACCCCTAAGTTGATAAGGAAGTCACTGTGACTTTGAACTAAACTTTTTGCCTCCACCCCAGTGTACTTGGATCACAGGTGTACACACCTGGCTTCTGTGACTGTACTATCTCTGTACTACTTAAGGGAATTTAGGAGAGGTACTTCAGTTTCTCAGCATTTCTTAAAAATATATAAATGATTTTTCCCTCAAGAGGCCTCTGATATTAAGTGGTCAGAGGGCATGAGGTGCCTTGACTGTCGGTATGAAATACCTACTACTTTCTCTGCCCCTCTCCTTCTACTCCTAGAACTTCTAAGGGTAACTTCCCAGAAGATAGGCGTCTCCTTTCCACCTCTGCAGTCACAGTTGCTCTCCAGGACTCATTCTCTCTTGAGATGAGTTGAATAGATTTACTATGTATGATTCCCAAAGCCTTCTGACATAGAAACATAACTAAATGTGATTGGAGGTGATTGAAATTTCCTGTTGAAGAAAACCTCCAGTTGCATAACTAGAGATGATAAACTTTTGAGCTAACTTATTGTAAATGCATTTCATAAGATCATCCATTTTAATACATCATACCCACCTGTGTAGTGGTAGAATGCAAGACAGATGAATGTGCAGAAACCCTAGTGTAAAATAAATAAATAAATGCATGCCTCTACAGGGGAAAGGGAATAAAAACAGGCTGGGAGAATAGGCAAGGCTTTGTCGAGCTGAAAGCTACCTTGATATGTCTTGCCTGTGTCTGGGTTGATGTCTGTAAATTTTTAAATTTGTCTAAGTCAATAAAAAGTGGTATTGAGAAGTTGAACATCTGAAAATTGGAAATCATAGCTTCATGTTGAAGAACCAACATTAACTGATATAAGAAGTTATGCATTGAGGGGTTATTTTCAAGATTTTTAAAAATTGTAGTAATAATTCACAAGTAATTCTTATAAATTTAAAACTACAGATAAACTGAAAAATCTGTCATTTGACTTTAATCCTTCAAATCTTAGCTCTCTTCTGAGAACAACATTTCCCAAAATTTTAGACTTTGGTTTTCAGAATTTCAGACTTTTGTTTAATTCCAACACTTGGGAGGCAGAGGCTAATGGATCTCTGAGTTCAAGGCCAGCCTGGTCTATAGAGTAAGTTCCTGGACAGCCAGAGCTACACAGAGAAACCCTGTAAAGAAAAGAAAAAAAGGAAAAAAATCTTAACTTATTAGAACTCATTCTTTTTGTTGTTGATATCTCTTTTTAACAATTTATTTTAATTTTATGTGCATTGGTGTTTTCCCTGTATATATATCTGTGTGAAGATGTCAGGTCCCCTGGAACTGGAGTTACAGAGCCACCATGTGGGGTGCAGGGAATTAAACTCGGGTTCTCTGAAAGAGCAGTCAGTGGTCCTAACTACTGAGTATCTCTCCAATCCCAGAACTTACTCTTTTAAGACTAAAGATAATATGTACTACTTGTTAATATAAACTCTGCATTTTTATAAAAAAGAACTACATTGGACTGAGGATTAGCCCAGTGAAGAGTTCTTACCTAGATTCCATCTCCACCACCACTAGACAGTAAGAATAAAAATGAAGTAAAAGCTTCTATAGCCAACTGTGGTGATGTGTGTAATCCCAGCACTTGGCACACAAAGGCAAAGGGATCATGAGGCCAGAATAGGTTGATGAACCGTGTTTTCAAAGTACAGTGTCAGACTTGACAGTTTTATAAGTACAAACTTGCTTTCGTTTGTACTTAGTAAAAGAGGGTTAGGTTCCCATGTCTGCTCATTGGTAGAATCCTTCACCTAGCTCTTGAGGCTCTGAGTGTAATTTCCAGTACTGTTATAAAAAATGATTTCTCTCTCTCTCTCTTTTTCACACACACATATGCATATTTAAAATATATAATAATGAAATGTAAATATAGCAAGACAAGATAGAACAAATTTTGAAGTATAAATAAGTCTCCTCTGATATCTGCTACTTCATCCTTCTACCCAAGACAGGAACTTGAAGCAATACACTCATACAGAAAAAGAATAAATGCATGGATGCTTATTACTAAGCTAACATTTTCCACTTTTTAAATGTTTTTAAAACTTTTTCCACTCTTTTGCAATCCATTCCCAAGCCCCAGGGAATAGTACTGCCCACAGTGGGCCAGGTCTTCCCCTATCACAGGCAAACCTAATACAGACAATCCCTCACTGATGCTCTCTTCCCACACAGTTCGCCATTGTGACACAGTGACACATGTTTTCTTTTCAGTTTAATATCTAATGTGTTCTTTATCTGAACACAGTATGTTAAATGGATGTTTGGAGTTGGGAGATTGAATAGGAGCTTGCTCTTTCCACTCCATGCCTAACTTGGTCTTGTAGTACCAAGAATGACACCCTTTTGGGGGAATATTTTACAAAAAAACAAGAAGAAGCCGCACATGGTGGCAAAGGCCTTTAATCTCCATAGAGGCAGAGGTAGGCAGATCATTGAGTTTGAGGCCAGCATGGTCTACACAGTGAATTCCAGAACAGTCTAGGCTACATAATAAGACCCTGTCTCGAAAAATAGATAAAAGTGACCATCACAATATAAAGTAGAGTGACTTCATTTTGCTTTTGGAGAAGAAACTGGCACAGTTGTTAGAGTTCTGGTAATATAACATTGCAAAGAATATTCAAAACAAGACAATTCTTGGTGGAGATAGAACTCAGTGGTGGACATTTACTTTGTACTCGTGAGGCTCTAGTAAGGGACATTTCCTGCTTACCTTGAGAGAAATAGTTATAACTCCTTTCCAAAGCTTGATTTTTGTTTGTTTGTTTCTGATAGTCCCGTGAATATTATGTTTTTCTTTTAAAAATAGGATACTGATGAAATTCAAGTTAACTATCCTGGAATGTTTGAATTGATGGAAGACTTAAAAGGTAAGGAAGGCATTTGTAGACTCCATTTGACACTGTACTCTAGGCATTTGGAATCCATTCCTGTAGAGAAAGCACACCATGGTCTAAAATGGAGGAGGCAGACAGTAGGCATGTCACAAAGAAGGGTTAAATTAGAGTTGTGGTCAGTGCTGTGAAACTGAGGCTTGCAGCCCTGCAGCTGCTTCTGGAATAACATAGGAATTTGCTGAAGGGTACACTTGTTATAAAATACTTTAGTGACTTCCATTAGCAGAAGTTCGTATCTCAGGTCTAAGCGTGCACACATGCATGTCTACACATACACACACACACACACACACACACACACATTTAAACACATGTCACCTTAGATAGTTTAATGAGTTTGAGATTGAGGGCTTAGTTAGAATAGATCCTGATCTGTGAGAGTAAAGAAATTTTGTTTGAGAAGCTGGCATTTGAGCCATGTTCTAAAGAGATAAAGATGAGTTAACTGGATGAAAAGGTGAGAGAAGTGTGTCTCAGGCACAAAGAATAGCATATTCAAAAGCCTTTTGCAAGAGAACATAGCTGGAACTGGATAAATGGCATTTGGCAGAGGACAGTGAGATGGATTGTTTAATGATGGGATTGTTAGCAAGCGAGAATCAGGTCCTGCACAAAACTTTACAGTCCCCGAATTACTTAGTTTTGTCTTTATGACCAAATAAATACCTGACAGAGGCAACTTAAGGGAGAAGTCTGTGTTGGCTCAGGGTATGTGGTCTGTCATAGCAGGAAAGGCTGTGTTCTGGGAGAAAGAGGCAGCTGAAATACCACATCAGGAGGCCAGAAGTGACATGGAACCAGCCTATAGTCCTCAAGGCTTAGCTTCCCAGTTGCTCACTTTCCTCAGCTAGGCCTTTCCTCTTCCACAGTTTTCCAGAATGGTGCCACCAGCTGAGAACTGAGATTTCAAACACAGGCTTTTTGGCAGTGGTGGTAGTGGTGGGGTTCCATGTTTAAACAATAACACACCCTCTTAATATTGTTTTCCCTTCCCTGGGTTTGATCTCTAGTACCCAAAATAAATGGACAATTTGACTTCCCAAATTCTTGAAATTTGGGGTGGGTTTGGTTTTGTGAAACTGTGTCTCATGGTTTGGCCCCAGGCTGGCCTTGAACACAGGGCTGTGCTGTTTCAGCTTGGTTTACAGGCATGGGCTACCCAAATTCATGTGTTGTAGTGCATTTTTTCTACATACATGTTTGCCGTCTCCTCAGAATTGGGGAAGGCCCTTACCATTAGGTCAGATCCAGAGCTTTAGCTTGACTTTGAAAGTTGCATAAATGTAACTGTACCAGGCTTGTCACTTAGACCTTCAAAAGTCTCTATAATTGCTTTTTTCACGGTTCATTTGTAGCATCCTGATGTATACCACACCTGCAAAGTGGCCCAAGTGTCAATAGAGAGCTCTTAATTTGTCTCTACTTGTGGTCATGCCCATGTTGAGGCTAAATTCCTTCGTCTGCTTCATCTGACAAAGGTCCTCATGGGTTTCACTTTTTAATCCCCAACCTGATGCAGTGGCCTTTGTGAAATAAGTATTTGGTGAATGCAGTCTTATAAATTTTGGTTACCTGTGTGTCTTTGCTGATCATCCTTTTACTCCTGTAGTAATTTGAGTATCCCACATCACTATAGATCTTCATTAAATAATAAATTAAAAAAGCAAAGATTGTTCTTATCAAGCATTTTAATTGGGAGGAAGTTAAAATATCATTAATATTTTAAATTTTTTTAAATTTATTTTATATGTATGTGTATTTTGCCTGCATGTATGTATGTGTGCCATATGTGTGCCTGGTCCAGAGGAGGCTAGAAGAGGATGTTGGGTCCCCTGAATTTAAGCTTATGAATGCGGTTCCTGGGATCAAGCCGTGGTCCTCTGCTAACACAACAAGTATTCCAAACCACTAAACATCTCTTTAGTCCAAAATTTGTATATTTAAGAGTAAATTAGCAAAAGAAGCTTCCTGCTATAAAGTTTGCTAAGAGATGGTGGTGTTTTGGATTTGGGTAAGTGTATTTCAGATATTTAGGAGGGAAAATGACAGTTTTAGGTAGATCAAATGTGGCCTTTGTGAAGAGTAGATGCAGTCTTACAAATTTGGACTATCTGTGTGTCTTTGCTCATGAGCCTCTTACCCGGTGTAGGAACTTGAGTCTCCCATATCACTGCAGCAGAACTGATTAGGGGATGGGGAGGCATATGTGTCTGTGTGTGTCTGTGTGTGTGTGTGTGTGTGTGTGTGTGTGTGTGTGTGTGTGTGTGCATGCAAGAGAATAGTTCTAGTAGACATAGATGTTTGTGTTCAATAGCAGTAAGTTCCCAGCTAATGAAGTTGTCTTCCTTGTTACAAAGGAAGTAATACAATATAGAGGTGCAAAGCTTGAGAATTATGGTGAAACACTGGGAAATAGTCATTGAAGACAAAGGTGAACTGACTAGGGAAACGTTAGAGTTGGAAGGGTCCATTTGAAGTCAATCAGACTTTTCAGTGTGGTTGGCTACATACAGAAAGGTAGTTGAGTCAGTTAGGGGTGGGGTTTTGCTATTTAAATGGCAGAAATCCAAAAGTGAAAGGTAACTCCATAAATATAATTGAAATAGTAGCCTGGAAGAATAGGAAGTAGAAGGCAAAAGTAAGTTGGGAAGTTGGGTGAAAGTTGCTGTAGCTAAGCATCTCAGAGTAGTCAGAAAATTGTTATGGCTGAAGTATGTAATCCTGCTGAAAGGCTAGAATAATGAAGTCAGAAAATGAGATGCCAGGTGAATGATGGAAGGTAAAGCAGTTAAAAGTGAGAACTCCTGGGGCACAGCTCACAGATGAGGCAGAGAGACGGAGCTCATTGGATATGCGGTGAGAGAATGGAACTTGATTGACATTAGCTCTGAAAACCCCTCCTCTCAGAATGGTGGCATGAGCAGAGGCACACAGGAAAGCTGAGCCAGGTACCAAAGCTTGCAAAGGAGGGGACTAATCTGCCAGCAGACGGGAGCAGGAGGAGGTTATAGCTCAGTGGACAAGCCCCTACAGGGTGAGGGTTTACACAGGCGGAGGAAGTAATATCTGGGAAGACACTGAGGAACAACAGCGACACAGACCCTACCTCCCAACTTAAGAAGGATGTGACCCTCTATTGGGAGACTTCCAACTGTTCTCCTTTGTGAACTACTTGATCATGCTCTCTCCCTCTCGCTCACACACACACACACATTCTCTCTCTCTCTCTCTCTCTCTCTCTCTCTCTCTCTCTCTCTCACACACACACACACACACACACACACACACACACCACATTTCAATAGTAGCATAGTTTTTTTGTTTTTTTGTTTTTTGTTTTTTTTTGGTCTGCTTGTTTGTTTTGTTATTTTGAGACAGGGTCTCTATATACAGCCCTGGCTTGGAACTCACTGTGTAGACCAGGCCTCCTGAGTGCTGGGATCAAAGGTGTGCACCACCATGCCTGGTAACATTCACAGTCTTAAGACCCAACATCAGCAAATTCCTAAGCATTACCCCTAGAGAAGCCCTCTGCATGCACCAGGAGGTCTGTAAGAGAACAGTTGCAGTAATACTTTGTGTCCTTGAGAAAAACATGGGTAAACAATCAGAAAGACCACCAACAGAAGAATGGGTAAATTGTGACATATTCATGCAAGACTACTCCCCAGCAATAGAAATGAAAAGCCAGACAGCTAGTCAATAACCTGGCAAGTCTAAAATACACAACACTGAATGGGAAAAAAAAAATTGCTCTGGAAGCTTTCACAGAGTGAAGCCAATTACATAAAGTTTAATACCAACAAAACAACATTTTATAATGTCAATGGGCATATTTTAAAAACGCTGAAATTCTCAACCCTAAGTGGTACATTTGTATCACAAGCCCTCCTCCCTAGGCTCAGGACTTCTCACAGAAGACAGGTGGGTAGATTGTAAGAACCAGCGATGGTGGGTGGCTACAAGGAAGCCGCGTGTCCCAGACAGAGCAGGCCAACTGCACACACAAACTCCCAGCAGTGTGGCGGCATGTACAGCACCTGTACATGCTCATTCCAGACAAAATTCCAAGCATGGAGAGGGAAGAGAGGTGGGCATCATATCCCACTTCTAGCTGAGAAGAGCTATAGGCAGTTGGTAGCGGCTGGAAAAGGTAGAGTCAGTATTTTTTAAGGGTGTGACCTCTGGTAGGCTACCACGTTCCAAGGGGTAGTCCCACACCCGAGACTATTTAGGCAGCCTAAATTGGACTTGATGGGTTTATCAAAGCAGGGGACGTGACATTGGGTGGGTGGGGAGGTAGAGGTTGATCTGGAAGGAGTTGGGGGAGGGGAGTAAGTACCACTAAAATCCATTATGTGACATTGTCAAAGAATTTCTAAGAATGCTGTTTTTAAAAATAGTAAAAATGCATGGCGTAAATACTAAGTTCTGAGCAGTGAAGATCTCTGAGGGACTGAAGGAAGAGAATGGAACCCCCTTAGCTAAATAGAGCAAAAGGAAAAAGCTGACACTTAGTAGGTCTACTTGATGAGTGCTCAGATATTCAGTATTCCAGTGCACATGTGTGTAAAACATTTCAGAAGTTCTTTTAAAATTAAAAATATATANTTTGTCATATGATAGGGCATCTCTTGGGTATATTCCCAAGAGTGGTATTGCTGGGTCCAGGGGTAGGTTGATCCCGAATTTCCTGAGAAACCGAAACACTGATTTCCAAAGTGGTTGCACAAGATTGCATTCCCACCAGCAATGGATGAGGGTACCCCTTCCTCCACAGCCTCTCCAGCAAAGGCTATCATCGGAGTAGCATAGTTTTGATTGCTGGTGGAGTTAAAGTTGGGGGTCTGTGAGATAGAATTATGCTTACCTAAAAAAGCCTTTATGTGGTTCTGAAAGTTGTAATGTTTTGAAATAATGAAATTTATAAAATTGCTTGCCTGTTCTTTTATTTATAGATTTATGGTTTTTAC